GAGGAGGGAGGGTTAGTGCTGAGAGTGGGAGCCAGGCCCAACGAGGTCCCCGGGAGTGAATGCCGCATTGTTGGCCAGGCCAGAGTCACAGATAATTACCTCAATTAGTGACAATGGGAGAGTAATAAATACAGGCTTAGTGTCTCCTACCCCACCAGGGCTCCGAAGATTAATCCAGCCTGACGGGCGGGCCCTGAAAGGCATGATGGACAATTCATTAAACTCCCCAAATGCCGCACAACCTGGGCGTGAAGGCTGAGTTAGCCCCCTGGGGGCTGTGTCTTTGTCCCAATTGTGTGTCTCCGACACAGCAGAGCCGGGAAGCCCCCAAAGAGTGGGGAGGTGAGTGGGGCTCCCCCAGCCGGGCCAGGCGGCTGGGGGATTAGACCTCAGTCAGGCCCTGGTTGCCCTGGCACGCCAGCACGGCCTGGCTGGAATGTCCGTGGGGGGAAGCTGGCCGAGCGGAGGGGCGGGGCCGACAAGGTGGGGTAAAGGGGGCACACAAAAACAGGGGCAGGAGGAGTTAATTAGACGCCAGCCGAGGAGGGTGAGGGGCCACAATGGGGCTGAGGGGCAGCCGGGGACAGCCCCTTCACTTCCGAGGATTAATAGGGAGGAGGGAGAAGAGACGGGAGGGGATCAGCACCAGGGGAGAAGAGCTGGAAGCTTCCCAGGGTGGCACCGCCTCCTCCTGCCCAGCTTGGCACCTACTTGGCAAAGGGACGAGAGACAGGAGGCTGTGCCAGCCGAGCAGATGCGCCCCAGCATCCCACGCAGTGGAGCGGCCCTTTCTCCCTCACGTGGGCCCTACCTCGGAGGGTGACTGGGGTAGAGAAAGGCCCTTCTCCATTATCAGGGAGGTAGTGGAGTCAGGAATGTTCAGGGCCCTGTTCTCAAGCCCTACCCCGACCTCCTCGGAGGGAAACCAGGAGTCTGAGGCTCACCCCTCCTGATAAGGCCGCCAGATTAAAGCCAAGGGTCTGTGGTGGGGGCTGCACCCGCCTGAGTGCGGGAGCCGGTGGGCAGGTGGGCAGGTGGGCAGGTGCGCCGCTTGAGCTCTCAGATGCTGCGCAGGGGCCTGGCCTGGCGCTAGGCAGGGCCTCGCAGACGCCTGCGGAAGGAGCGGAGGAACCTCAGTTTTGCTGAGAAGGAGTGATGTCGGGAAGAGAGCTGGTGTGGGGCTGCCCCCGGAGCCAGCGTCCTGGCTTTGGCTCTTTCCTGCTGAGCTGCAGCCCAGGCGCGGGGAGGCTGGGGACCCCACCTGTGGGCAGATGAGCAAATGTCCAGAAAAAACAGAGTGACATGGTTCCTTCCCTTTGAAAAGGGGAAAAAAAGCAGTAGACTCTGGAAGCCCCACTTCCTCCTGGGCCTCAGGGAACAGGGCAGCCCTGGCTCCTCCCTGGGTGCCACCCCGCCCTATCCCCTCCCAGGGGATGACAAGAGAGAGAGCTGGCCACAGTGCCTCGGGCATATTTATAACCTGGGCTCGCTCACCAGCTCTGCTTTTAGCCCAGACGGGGGAGGGGGCAGGGGGGTGGTCTGTCTCAGGCCGGGCGCCCCGCTGGGTGTGGAAAGAGTGAGTAAGGGTGAGTGGTGGGCAGCTCTGCACGGATATTCCTGCTCACACCACAGCCAAACAGCTTATTTTCTCCTCATTTTGTTATTTTTCTCGCTCTGGCCTGGAGAGGAGGGCTGAGCCAGCCTGGGGGTGGGGTGGGGGAGACACCTAGACCCTGGGGTATTTGCAGCCCCACTGACGGGGTTTTTCCAGGGTGCTGTGGGCAGGGTGCGTGTGCTACCAGCTCACTGACCCCCCGGGGCTGCTCGGGCCTGCCGGCTCAGTGCTGTCAGCTTTTCCACTCCCCCTCCCGGGGATATTTTAGGACGAGCGTGTCCCTCACTTGCTGAAGTCAACCCTGTGCCCGGGGTCCCTGCCATTCCCCCACAGCGTGAGGCCACTCGGGACCTGGAGGTCTCGCTCTAGGCACAACAGCTTTGCTCCCCAGGATTTGCCCGCCCGAACCCCTTGTGCGGAGGATGCAGATGATCACTAGAACAAAATAACTCGTTCCTACGTAACGCTCTGCAGACCCTGCAGCGCCTCTGGTGTATGCCCCACTGAGGGCAGCCACGCTCTGCTACTCCCTACACCCCTTCAAAGCCCCAGCCCCTGGGGGTGAAGGGCCCCATTACAGGACCTGCTGGGAGAATCTGTCTCAAACCCCATGCAGGGGTGTTGCTCCTCACTGCCCCTCCCTGACTCCCCACTGCACGGGCAATAGCACTGACAGCTTCATCCGGGCCCCAGCTAAACTCACCAGGTGGGCACAGCTAGTATAGGACCCTATTCCCAGCACCTGGCTCAGGAGGGTGTCAGCACGTGTCCCAGTGACCCATACGCTCATATACATGCTCTCGGTGAACCTCACCTCCTTCCTGCAGGAGAAGGCCATGGATCACCGTGCCTGTTTAACACAAGGCAACCGAGGCTGAGAAGGATAGAGGTTTGTGGAGTCTATTTAGGCCACAGTAGGGTTCGTTGCTCCTTCGTGTCAGCCCAGACCAGCAGGCCTACCCGAAGCGTCACCCCTCGCCTGTAGTTTCCAGGACTGAGTGCAGGTGCCCGTTATGGTGCCTGGAGTTGGAGGTTAGGTGAGCCGGTGTGCTGCGGGGCCAGCTCCAGCCCTTCCAGTCCCGGCCCTGCTGCTCCTCCCGCCTCAGCGTTGTCCAGCAGAGGCCACTGCCCTCCCTCCTGCCTCTGGCAACCCATTAATCTAATAACTCACTGGATCATAGACTGGGCATTCTTTCTGGAGGGGGTCTCTGCTAGGAACCCAAGACTGTCAGGTGCCTCCCACCCAGCATCTATTCCTTTCCTCAGCAACCCATCAGAGCCACGCTGGCTGGGGCACAAAGACAAAGGGGGGAGAGGATGTCCCTTCAGGGTTGAGCTGCTCTGGGCTCACTTCCTTACCCCCACTCGTATCCCAAAGGCCAGTGGGGGGTCAAAGTTCACAGATCCGGGAGAGGTGGGAGGCAGTAACAAGAGCTAAGAGCCTCAGGGTGAGAGGAAAATTCTCCAGCAGTTGACTTTAGGGTGAGGGGTCCGGGTGCTTCATAGCTCCCTCTACCCTCAGGTCCTGCCCCTGGGGGGAGGGCTAGGCTTAGGGGCAGCATTAGCTCTCAGGAAGGGGCCAGTGTCTGTCTGGAGATAGGGTTAAGGTTCGGCTTAGCGCTAGACCTCAGGCCAGGGAGAGGATTAGAGTTAGAGACAGGTTTAGGGCTGTGGGCAGGATTAGTGTCCCGCTGGCCCAGGCCAAGGCACCTGCAGAGGTACCAGTGTTGTGAGCCTCAGACCCGCACCCTCTCTCCACAGCTGGCTAGCTGGGGCTTTGGCTGCGGAGCACACTTAGGTTCCTCTAGGCTCTGCTGGGGTGCGCCTCGCCTGCATGGGGATTCTAGCCCTCCTGCTCCTCTCCTGCCCCATCATCATCTCTGAGTTTCTGGGTTCAGGGCTAGCTCCCATCCCCTGTTATTCGTTATTTGGCGCCTCCTGAAACCAAGGTGGGGAGCTGGGGTCCTAATAAAGTGTTTCCTTGTCATGTCAGGAGAGAGGGGAGAGCCTCCCCCACCACCCAGTGCCCTGGCCAATCTTGCAGCAGATAAACTTCAGGGACCTCCAGCTCTACACAGGGTTGGGGGTTGGGAGGGTGGGTACAGCCACCCCCTGTGCTTAGGTTTTCTTTCCCTTTCTCCTTTGGTTTCTTTTCAGAACACAGTCTTGTTAATTGCCACTGTTTTCACAACAATTCTTCTAGGTAGGAAGGGCAGCCTGAGTGTGTTAACCCCACTGGACAAGGGGAGACCCCGAGGCAGTTATGCACCTGCCGGGTTTCACACGGTTGTCCTCTGTCAGGAGGAAGCTCCCTGCACTGTGTTGTGGCCCCTGGTCAGGTGCTCCTGGGTCTGCACCTCCTCAGGCCCAGGAGAGTCACTGAGAGGCCAGAATTTCAAGGTCCTCTTGCAGGGCCAAGAAAATAATCCCCAGGCAAGGTGTCATTTCTGTTTGAGAGAGGTAAGCGGTGTGTGCCCTGGATGCGAGGAAAAGTCACCAAGTCTTTGATAAAAATAGAGATTTTATTCTGCAAAGGAAGATACTACATTGGTGGGGGCGAGGAGCCACTAATAGCTCTAGTGGAAGGAAATGCTGATCCCCGTAGGCAAAGGCATCTTGGAGACGCGAGAGAGCTGGAGAGAAGGGTCAGAAAAGCCTGGAGAGGAAAAAGAGAGCAGGGCAGTGGGGCGGCGGCGTGGCAATGGTCTCTGCAAACCAGCACAATAAATAGTTTTTATTTACAACAACCAAATTCGTGGCTTTGGAGCCACGTTTCAGTGCAAATTATTTACACACTGATGAGACAGGACAGGAAGGGGTAGGAGGCGGCTGAGGGAGGCCTGGGTCACAGCTGTTCAGTGGCCCGCGACAGAGACTGGGAGAAGGGGGGGGGTTCTTCTGAGTCCCCAACCTCACTTTCCACTTCACCACAGCTGCCCTTTACCCTGGACCCTCCGGCTTCTGCTGTAGGGGGGACCAGAAGGGCCCTGACGCCCAGGTCTGTCTTCAGGGTCTGCACTCCTGGCCGGGTGACCAGAGAGGGCCCGAGGGGCAGACAGGGGAGAGGCAGGGAATTCGCAGGCCCGACGGGGAGGCAGAGTCACGGAGCAAACCCCTTCAGGGCTGGGGAGGCTCCTTCTCTCACCTCCTGCCCGAGCAGGGGCCAGTGCAACTAGGGGTCCCCGCGCAGAGGGAGGGAGGTGCGCCCCGGGCAGGTCCATCTGGACGGCAGAGGGTGCACGCTGCTGCCCGCCAGGGCAAGTGGTTTCAGGAGTGCCCAGGTAGGAGGAGGTGGAAGAAACGATCCAGAGGGTGGCTGGGGGGACTGAGGGGGGCGGGGTGCAGCTCGGCGTCGTAGGGGCCGGACAATGTTCGGGTCGGGGGTGGGGTGGGCTTGAGGAAAATGTTCCTGGGGCGAGTCCGCGCGGCGCCTCACAGGCACTCGTGCAGCACGCGCGTGTGCGTGCAGTTGCGGCAGCTGACGTGGCAGCACCAGTGGAAGGTGCAGTTGCAGCGCTCGGTGACGCGCTGCGTGCGCGTGCGGTGGCCCCGGCCGCAGCAGAGCAGCTCGCAGCCGTCCAGCGCGGGGGACGAGCTGTTGCAGGCGCGCCCCGCGGTGCCCGCGGTCCCCAGGCGGCCGCTGTACGTGCAGAAGTTGGGCGATTTCTCGAAATAGACGAGGTCGTGGGGCGAGGGCGGTTTGTGCGCGGGGTCCTCGGGCTCCAGGCGCAGCAGTTCGGCCCGCGACGCGCGGTTGCTGCCGCGGTTGCCGTAGAGGACGCGGGAGGCGCCGTCGAAGCGGTCCCGCAGCACGTCGCCCACGGCGCGCAGGGTGGGCAGCCGCATCCAGCACGTGCGCACCGTGCAGGAGCCGGACATCCCGTGGCACTTGCACTCCTGGCGCATCTCGGAGAAGACGGTCTGCGGGGGGGGGGGGGGGGGGGAAAGTTGTCCCGGGGCGCGAGCACAGATGCCGCCCCCAGCCTTAAGCCGCCCGGAGCCTCACCAAGGGCCCAGACTGGCTGAGCCCGAGCCGAGGGGGTGCACACTACTCTGCAGAGATCGGGACACCCGGTCCGCCTCTGCTGCGCGCCGGAGGGTCTGCATGCGTCTCTCAGCCTTAGCGTTTGGAACCTGCACGGCGTGAGCAGGTGGGCAGCGCATCCTCTGCGGCGCTTCTAACCCCTTTGGCGCCACCTGCGCTCAGCCCAGGCATCCCCTGACCTCAGCCGCCGCCCTCCCTCCTCGGGCCTCCGGCAAGCTTCCCGGCTCCTTCAGGACGCCCCCTCCTGGTTGCCTACCCTAGCCCGGCCTTACCGCTGGCCGCCACCTCCCCCGCCCGAGGTCAGGCCCCGCGCAGGGTCCAGGGATCCCGCCGCTGCGCCCAGGGCGCGGAGCCCGCAGGTCGCTCACCGTGCGGCCCGCCTCGTTGTTGTGAAGGTTCATGAGGAAGCGCAGGTCGCGCCCCTTCTCCCCGGAGTCCACGAACTCCCGACCGAAGAGGCGGCCGAAGTCGATGTTGTCGCTGCAGCCCCCCCAGTGCCAGTCGGGGCCCCCGGGGCCGCGCCGCCTGTAGTCGCACGTGCAGGACTCGATGGAGCCCTCGGAACAGGAGCGCGCGACCGAATGGGTGACCCCAGCCGAGGTGATGGCGAAGATGAAAGCTGTTTCCCGGCAGCCTGGGGGCGGGGGAGGGAGCAGGGATCAAGGAGGTGCCACCTGCACCCTCAGGAGAGGGCCCGGGGCCCCTGAGTTCCGGCTTCTGCGCCTCTGAGGTTCTGAGAGGCCGGGCAGGCAGGGCTGGGAAGCTGGTCTCCGAGGAAGCACGTGTGTAGGCGCGCGGCCACAGCCACACTCCTAATCGCGTCTTGTTGAGGCTCAGCATGCATTTTGGCTCCTCAGGGAAAGTGGGGCAACCCCGGACGGAGAGAAAAATTAAACATGTGGGGAGCAGAAGAACTCTGCACTCCCAAGACCTCGCCACAGCCCAGCCTTTCAGCCGCATCATCCATGCAGCCTTGCTGGGACCTCAGAGAGCAGCTTCCCAGGCACCTTTAAGGGGCTGGGGGGGGGGAGGGGTGGCTGGGCAGCGTCCACTACTCCTAGCTCCCTTCTTGGGGGGCAGTGGCACAGTAAAGTTAATTTCATGCCCAAGGTGCGTGGTTTGAAAGCAGCTGCGAGAATGAGTCTGGATGAGCTGGCGCTGGGCAGGAAACTCTGGAAGGGCTGATACTGTGACCCCGCGTTCCCCGGGTCCTGGAAGCGTACCCACTTTCCTGGGTACCCACCTCGGTTGACGATCTTGCCGAAGAGGTGGGGCCCCGAAGCCGTGGGGCAGTTCCAACGGCGGTTCCGGAACTGCCACTTGCACTCTCGCACGGCGCTCTGCAGCCCCCCGCTCACGCTGTGCAGGATCCCCGGGTTCTGGCGGATCAGTCGCCGCTGCTTGCGGCTCAGCAGCTGCAGACTAGGCTCAAGCACCAGTTGCAGACTCTTGGAGTCGGTCAGCAAGTTCGTGGAGGAGGCTACGTTGACAATCCCCCTGGGGAGATGCAGGATAGGGGCTCAGCCTCTGCCAGGGACCTAATCAAAAAGGCCGCGCCCGCCCTGGTCTCTTTCTGGGGCTCTCTGCCTGGGAACAGTGGTGGGGGTGCAATAATCAGGTAACCACTCTTCCATTCCAGGGCTCGCTAGTTCGAAAGGATTGGTCACCCCAACTTTTGTCTGACAAATCTGTTGATAAAAGATATTGTATGAGGAGCCTGAGGCGTACTAGGGCTGCTGGGGGTGGCATGGCCCATCCAGGGACTGCATGGAGGAGGCATGCAGATGAGGTGTCCACCTTGGCTCTCAGAGCCTGCTTCCCGGCTGCCTGCGTGAGGAAACCCCGGCCTGCAGTCCATGCCCACCCAAGGCATGAAATGCGGAGGCGTCCCCCCTCTTCTTGCCTCCTTCCTGCCTGCCCCTTTGCTTCCCGAGTCAGGGAACCTTGTGGTGTGGCCGCCACCCCGAGGTTGAGTCTGGGGCACCAGCAAGAAAGGCCTCAGGAGGTGGCAGTGGCTCCCCGCTTGGAGAACCGTGCACCGCTGAGGCGGGACCATTCTCCCCACTTCGGCAAAGCTGCATTCTCTGGAGCGGCTTCTTTCCAGAGCGCCCCTGGGTGGTGTCTTGGCGGGAAGTCAGCGCGGTGGAGGGGACCTGTTTGCAGACCGATCCCGGCGCTGGGAGCTGGGTGGGCTGGCTCCTGGCGCTGCGCCCCGGGCCAAGTGGCCGCCCGACCTCGCTCACTTACCACCATCGGCCACTGCTGTTGGCGGCCAGGGCTGCGGGCAGAGCGGCCAGCGCCAGCAGCAGTGCAGCAGCAACCCAGCCGGGCAGCAACGCCCAGCGCCCCATGACCTGCCCGGCCCGGCCCGCGCTGCGCTGCGGCTGGGGCGGCTTTGGCTGGGGCCCGCTGCGGTGCGCGACGCGGCGGTGGTCGGCGGCGGTGGCGCGAGGTCGCAGTCTGGCTCTACCAGCCCGGGGGCGGGCGGCGGGCAGCATGGCTCTCGGTCCCCGCTGCTGGGCTGAGGCAGCCCCGGCGGCCGGCACCGCCTCTTATAGTTGCGGCTCTGGCTTAAGTGACGCGAGGAGGCTGCCCCGCCGGGCCGCGCTGGGGCACCAGGGCGCACCGGTCAGGGACGCAGACAATGGGGCGGCGAGCGGGGCCGTGGCTCCCGCCGTCCGAGCCGAGAGCTGACGGGCTGGCCGTCGGGGCTCACCCCCGCCCCCTGCCCGGTGGCTCCCGCCTCCGGGCCTGCACTGGCCGCCGACCCCTCCCCTTGGGACGCCCTCCCACGCGCGCTCGCCTCGCTCCTCGGCGCGGCCGGAGGCCGTCGGGGACCAGCGTCCGCCAGGGGGCGCGGAGACCGTGTGCTCCGGGGAGGCTGTGCCCGCAGCGCAGGCTCCAAGCTGTCCTCCGCGGGGCTGGCCCCTCGACGCCACCCGGGCCCGGCTTTTCCCCAGGCGGAGGAGAGGGAAGCTGCGGTTCTGGGCAGCGACTCTGCCCAAGACGCACCCCCAGCCCACCCCCCACCGCCGCTGATGCTGGACTGGGAAGTAAAGGTGGGAGTCCAGGGGTGGAGAGGGAGTTGTGGTCAGGGAAATCCCAGGGGTAGGAGAGAGAGAGAGAGAGAGTGTGTGTGTGTGTGTGTGTGTGTGTGTGTGTGTGTGTGTGTGTGTGTGTGTAGACCAAATAGTCGGCAGTGGAGAGGAACTGAGGCAGCGGAAGTTTGTGCCCGTGGGCTTGAAAGAGTGCACAGTGGCTCTGTGTGTGTGTGTCAGTGTGAAAATGTGAGTGCACAAGAGTGTGCTTTAAGGGCGTATTCTGAGGTGGGAGAATAGGAATCTTTCCAAGGAATCTGGGAATTTAGCTCAGGTCAGACATCAAAAAGTCCCCTTATCGTAGCCACGCCCTGTGGTAGTGCGTCATCCCTGCGAGTCTGGATGGAGGTGGCAGCTACTGGTCAGGAAAGGCCCAGGAGGTTGATTGAGGGACAGAGACTGTCTGGGACAGTGTGTGGAGGTGGATGGATGAGTGTGCATGTGGGGGAGGGGGCTAAATATGCATATATGTGTCACTGTCACCCTCTGTACCTCATGTCATCCTCAGTGACATGAGGCCTGTGTCGACCTGTGTGTGTCACTGGAGGAGAAGCCTGAACCTACAGCCAAATGGCATCAAGATGGACGAGGTCTGGAGTGGCTGAGTGTGTCTGTCAGCTCAGAAAGGACGGGCAGCAGAGTGGTTGTCAGATGGGGGCGGGCTGGGAAGAGCAGGGCTGCTAGCTGCACTGAACACAGAACAGAGAGCTTGTGTCTGCTTCTGGGATTTTCCCACTAAGTTCTGTCTCCCCCCAAACTCTGGCCTCTCCTGTCTCCTGTCCCACCCTGCTTAGGTCCTGCACTTACACTCCCTTGCTCATCTCATCAGCTGTTCACTTTTCTCCCCCGCACACTATTCAGGTTAAAGGCCATCTTGACGTCTGTTAAAGTGGCTGCTGCTCCCTGTACAGAGCCGAGGGGGTACGGCCAGCCTGGATATCAGGCCTGATCACCCAGACAGGAGCTCTCCCTTCACTCTTCTCCTCTCCCCCCACTTCAGAATAGACACTTGTTAGGTCACACACGTCTAACAAGGTCCACGCAGCTAACAATGAACAAATGCTAGAGTTGGCTTAAACCTAGAACATGCACCTTACCAGCTGCTATGAGTGCACATAGCAGAGAGCATGCTGGGGGCTCTCCTCAAAACTGACAGATAAATAGAAATGATCTTTGGGGCCTTTCTGGCTCGCTTTTAGATCCCTTCTTTCCCCTCCCCTCTGCTTTCCGGCTGCTTCTAACAGAGTGACGTATCCAGGCCCAATCCAGGACCCAGAAATGACCAATTCTCCCCTTCAAGGGAGGAAAATCACTCTAAGGAGTAAATACTTTGTAAGTGTGATATTTCAGGGGCACTTGCATTTTAAATGAAATGCACTTTAAGTTAAATGAAACCAAAGGAGGTTATTTTTGAGGGGTGTGTCCTTCCCTGATCCAGCTCAGTGAGTCTGGCACAACCACCAACGCCCCCACCCCCATGAGGTGCACTGCCCTAGGAATCCCCATGAGTCCAAAAGTGAGTAGTCTTTGCAGAGGGCGCCCAACACAAGTGGCTCAAGTTCCTTGTCCCTCAAGAGTTTCTCCCCCACTGGGATCTGGTTCCATAATTTGGTCTGAGAGGTTGATAAAACCCCATGGAGGTGAGAAGTGGACTTGACAGTGAAGCCCTATCTGAGGCCACTGGTGATAAATAGAGGTGGAAAGAAAGAGCCAGCATCCTTTGTTCCACCATTCGATCCTCGAGGAGTAAGTGGGTTCTTAGTGGGTTCTTAGTCAGGATCACACTATGTATGAACTGGCTCAAATTTCTATTTAGATCAGATCACCATTCTATCAACTGTTCCCTCATCTCTGCATCAGTTTACCTCTCTACTGGGCCTATACCCATCAGCCTGCAAATACACTGCAGTATCTTCCATCTAAAAAAACCCAGAAACTTCACTTGACTTTACTTACCACCCAAGATGGTCCCACTTCACTGCTCTCTTTTACTGTAAATCTGAAAACTGTTGCTTTGCTCACTAGCGTTACTTCCTTTGGTATTCTCTTTCCACCCTAATCACACATCTAAACCCACCCCTTATCAAAAGCATCTGAGACTTTCATGTTGCTCTACAGCTAACCCTCAGTTCTCGTCCTGATCTACCTTTCAGGACCAGCAGACACAGCTGAACACATCCTCCTTTTCTCACTTGGCCTCTGGAACACCATTCCTACCTCCCTGACTGCTTGCCTGCTTATATGATTGCACCCAGCTTCTAAACATTGGCGTGCACCCCAGCTAAGTCTGGGGCTTCTCAGTCTGCACTCACTATTGAGTCTCAGGCTACGGAATTTATATCTTTGGTCCTGAACTCTGGACTTGCATATCTAACACTCGAATGAGCACTTAAAATATACATCTCCGAAGCTGAGCACCTGCTCTTTCTTCAATCATCCCTGTCTCAATAAATGCCAGCTCCATTCTTTCAGTTGTTCAGGACAGAAATCATCCTTGATTCCTCTGTTTTCTTATACTTTATGTCAAAACAATCAATCAGTTTGCCCTCAGTCTTCAAAACATATGCAGAACCTGCTCTTCCTGCCCAGTCAGTAAGAAAGATCTGCTACAATCCCAGTCAGAGTCACCACCATCTCTCTCTTGCATTATTGCAATAGCTTCCCAATGTTCTTCCTGCTTCTATACTTACCTGCCCCCAGTCAGAGTTCTTCTTTCTAAAACAGAAGTTGGATCATTTCATTCCATTATTCAGAATTTCCACTTCTCACTCAAAGGAAAAGCCAAAATTTTTACTGTGGCCTACAAGGCCTATGTGTTCTGACTCTGTTCCTTCCTTGACCTCCAATTTCATTACCTGCTGCTCTCTCCTCTGCTGGTTCCTTCCCCCTCCCCAGCTTCCTTGTTAATTCCTTAAGCATGCTCCAGTCTCAGGGAGCTTTGTACCTGTTTTTCTCTTTTCTGGAATATTCCGATATCTCCATGGTTGTTTGTTCTCTTATTTCCTTTTCCCTCTTCCCTTATCACTTACGAGCATCCTTACTTTAAAAGTTCGAAGAATAAAATCAGTTGCAACCCTCCCCTTCGGAACAGGAATAAGGGAGATGTCTGAGGGGACTTAACCTTGATGCCAAAGTGGGGAAGGATACAGGAGACCAGGCTGACAGTCTGCGGGCAGAGGGAACTACCTCCCTTTGAAGCACCAGCAGGCGGCACTGCCTCCTTGGGCGGGGAAGGTATCCGCCTCTGGTAGAAAAAGGGACAAAATTCTGACTGACTAGGGTAATCCCACAGTTTGGTTGGTGCCAACTGCTGGATGTGAGGGTTTCCTTGATAGTCCAGCACTGTTGGGCTATAGACACTTTGGCGCCTCCTGGTGGTGGCCTGTGGTGCTGCAGCAGGCGGCAAGAGGCAGAGGGTGGGCAGCGTAGCTGAGCTCACCGCTGCAGGCGCATCCATCCCTCCAGGGCCTATAATTTGGGTTCTCTGGGCCTGGCTCCCCCTATCAGCAGCTCAGCAATAGATGAGTCACCCAGGACCCTGGGCCAAGGCAAACACGGAGGGAGGGGGAGAGGAGGAGGTTCCCCAGGCAGTGCTCAGCTTCAGCCACCGCCTGGGTTGCTCGATCCCCCAATCTCTGGGCCCCCCCCCAACTCTTTTCTTTGACCCCCACCCTCCAGGACCCAGTATTCTTCCTAGATTGCTCTGCTACCCCCTTCATCCCCATGACTGGAAGGTGGCCCTCTGCTCCTCTCACAGAGGGAAGGAGACCCGCTAGCTTCCATTCCCTCCCTGAAGTAATGACAGCTCCTTGCTTTCCCCCTCCTGCTACGGCCCCAGCCCTTGTCAAGGTCTCTCTGGTTCTCGCTCCTCCCCTTTCCTGGAGCTGGCCGCGTGCTTGGGGTATTAGGCAATGGGTGTGTACCCACAGCCCTCTCCAGGCCCCGCCTGCCCCACCAACCTCCAGGCCCGCGGGTCAGAGCTCAGGCCAATCGGTCGGGCAGAGGGCACTGTGGGCCAACTGAGGCCACCCAGTCTGCCTGCCTGTGGCCTCCTGTCCCAGATCTGCGCTTCTGCAGGGAGAGGGAACACAAGTGTCAGTCCTGAGATTTGAGACAGGCCAGCTTGGAGAGCCCTGGGGGTCACTGAGAAGTTGAAATCTACAGTAGTACTTCAGACCCTGCCCCTTCCTTGGCACTTGACTCTACTGCAGCCTGCCATGGATAGAATTTTTTTTAAAAAAAAAGGTACTTAAGGAAGACCTGAAGATACGTAGAGAAATATATCCAAGAGGTCCCTAAGAGAGAAGAAGGACATAGGAAACCTCTCCTCCTAGGGGCTGGCTGGAGTCTCAGGCTATCATGTGTGAAGGACAAGCACACTGGCATGGATTCCTAAATCCAGGTGCCAGGACAAAAGCTGCTGAGATAGGACTTGCAGATTCTGGTGAGCTCAAAAGTCACACATGGTTTGCTTCTTGCCCCTTAAATGGGAGGCAATGGCAAGAACTAGAAGGCTCCTTGTCCTCCACCTCCCCCTGCCCCCCAGAGGTGGGGAGGCAGAGGAAAGCAATCTTCTGTAGTCACAGGTGTGTCAGGAGCCATGACACTTGCACCCCCCCCCCAGCTTGCTCAAGGCCTGGCACTTAAAGGTGCTCAAGAAATATCCCAACAGGGTGTCCTATCACCTCAATTAAAAATAAATAAATAAATAGAAAAAGGAGAAATACCGCAACAGACCAGTGGCTGATCTCTCCCCGACTATGCCACCTAGACAGCAGTGCCCCCTGCAGCCCGGGGCGGGCCCTGCAGCAGCGCGGGCTGGAGGCCGGCTGCCTGGTAGAGCTGCAGAGCCACCACCAAGGAAGAGATGAGTATGGCTGTGGGTTCTAGCCCCGTGGCTCTGCTTCCCTGGGGGCCCGTCTCTGAGTCAACACGCCAGGCTTGGTGAGCGGGGCTAGTCGTGCCTTGGGCTGCGGTCTGGCAGGGGCGGGGGTGGGTGGTGGTGGCTGGGAAGCCTGGGGCCCCTCTCTGGCAAAAATAGCCCAAAGTGGTTAGAACTGGGAGGGTGAGTCAGGCAGGAGTGCAGCGGCGCCTAACCCCTTCGCTGCCGCCCTATCTCCTTAAGGTGGTGTGCCTTGGTCTGCGTACCCCAAGATCAGACTCTTTCCCTGCTGTCCTTGGGCTAGGCTCAGCTTGGGGCCCGGAGCTTCTTCTCATCCCTTGCGAAGCTGGTCGGAGTCTGGAGGAGGAACGTGGGCCACCTGGGGTGCAGACCTGGCACCCCGGGAAAGGCGCGGACACCTGTAAGCCGCCGGGACCACAAAGGCAGGGGCAGGCTACAGATCGCTAGGGCCGGACTCTGAGGCTGGACCCGACCCCTCCCGCGGGGCAGGCGCGGGGTTCAGAGGTGGGCGGATGCCGAGCCTCGGGGACGAGACCTTCTCCTGCCGGCTCCGCGCCCGGCCTGGCTCGCTCGGCGAGGGCGCTCCGTGCTGCTGCCCCGTGCCCGAAGTGGGCCCTCGGCTTCACCTTCCTCCTTTCAGAGGTTCCCTCCGGCCACCCTGTTCTCGGTGGGAAAACCGAGGCAAAGAGAAACAATGAAAGATTGGACCGTGGGGCGGCTTTCTGGCTCCCCAGTTGGGGTGAGCGCACCCCCCTCGCAGCCGTGGCCATCCCGGAGCAGGTGAGAGGCGCTCCAGCCACCTCCCCCTGCAGCGGGGCCGGGGCCGGGCCGACCCGGGCGTCTGGGGAGAGGGTGTGTGTACTCTGGGAGGAGGGGGGGCCACGGCGCTCCCCGGGTCAAGGCAGGGGTGGGGGTGGGAGCAGCGGGGTGGGGATGCCGGGGCCCGGGGAGGGGCCGCCGCTCTGACAGCTGGGGCAGAGACGCCGGAGCTGGGCGCAGCACCGCCCGAGCCCCGCTTCCTCGCTCGCCGGCTCCCGAGCGTTCTCGATCACCCCCTCCCTGCCTCCCTCCCTCCTCCCGGCGGCCGCTGGGGACGCGGCTCAGAGGAGCGGCCCTGCCGGGGAAGAACGCAGCTCCGCCGAGGGGGCAGACGCCCACGCAGCCGCCCCGCCGTCTGAGCAGCGCCGGCCGCGTCCAGGCGACCCGACCGGGCGGGTGTCCGAGCCGAGCCCGGCCACTGGAGGTGATCAGGGCGGGAGGCGGCCGGGCCGCGGGCGCACGCGGGGGTCAGACACGCAGACACGCACCGCCCAGGGCGGCGATGCGGAGGGGAGCAGAGGTGGCCAGGGATGGGCGCAGCGAGTAAAGGAGCGCCCCGGAATGGGGGGGGCGAGGAACAGCAGAGCCTGGGGGTGGGGACCCCGCTGGGACCTGGGGGGACTACTGGGGTGGCTGGCGGAGGAGGGGGCGTGTGGTGGGCGAGGTGGAGGGAGCGCAGGAGGACGCCGCCTGCCCCGGGTCCCGCTCAGGTGGGAGCCGGGTCCCCTCCCTGCTTCTGCCACACCTGGAGTCCCTGCTCGCCCCCTTCCTCCGCCCTCCGAGGGAGGCTGCCCGCGCGCCACAGGCACCTGGAAGCGACGGTCCCCACCCCCACCAGCTGTAGGTGGTGGGGAACCCCCTCCTGATCACACCCCCTAGCCGTGTGCGGGCAGAGCTGCGCTCCGCAGGGCGGCGAGCCGGGGCCCTGGCGCAGGGAGCGGGGGGCAGCGTGGAGGAGCAGGAGCTCGTGAGTCTGTGGGTCTGGATCTGCATGTGCGCGGCGTGAGCCCGACTTCTGGTCTGGCTGGGGGGCTGCGGAGGCGCCCACGGACGTCTCAGCCGCCTGGTGGACTTTCCTCCGGGGCCCAGGGACTCTGGGCATGGAGGGGGCATTCTTGTTTTGTTTGGGGCAGGACGAGAAAGGCCAGTGGCATGGGGCAGAGAGGAGCCTGAGGTTGGGCGTCCTTGGAGGGGGCCTGGGGGATCCCGCTCCCTTGGGAAACCTTCAGCCTCTCTGTCCCGCAGGCCCTGACCCATCTGCCCACCCGGGCCTTCGGGTGGGGGCTCTGACATGCCCACGCCGGAGGAGCCGGGGCCGCGGCCTCTGCCCCTGGGCCTCGCGGGTCTTCTGCTGCTGGCGTTGTGCAGTCGGTGAGGAGAGCCCCGAGCCCAGCCCGAGGGGAGGACAGTCCTGGGCCAGAGGCTCCCACCCTGGGTGGGGGAGCAGTCCGAGGGCGCGCCGGGCTTGCCCCAGAGCCCCCCAACCACCCTCTCGGTCCCCAGGGCCCTCAGCAATGAGATTCTGGGCCTGAAGCTGCCCGGAGAGCCGCCGCTGACCGCCAACACCGTGTGCCTGACGCTGTCGGGCCTGAGCAAGCGGCAGCTGGGCCTGTGCCTGCGCAGCCCCGACGTGACGGCGTCGGCGCTCCAGGGCCTGCACATCGCGGTCCACGAGTGTCAGCACCAGCTGCGCGACCAGCGCTGGAACTGCTCGGCGCTCGAGGGCGGCGGCCGCCTGCCGCACCACAGCGCCATCCTCAAGCGCGGTGAGCCGGGGCGGGGGGTGGGGGCCGGCCGGGGCGAGCGGGGGAGGGAAGGGACAGGTTCACGACTCGGGGAGGGGCCTGGGCGGGAATTCCCCCTGGGAGCCGCCCCGAGCCGGGCCGGACCGCTCGTCTGGGCCGCGGGGCTGCCGACTTCCACCTGCGCGCTGCGGGCGAGGCAGCTGGGTCTCTGCTCCCCCACCCGAGGGCCCCTCTTTGCCGCCTCCTCCCAGCTCGAGCTGGCTTGCACCTGTGAGCCAGAGATGCCCCCAGTCCTGAAAGTTTCAAACGCCACCCCACCTCCTCCAATTGCCTCCCCCCTCCCTCTTCTAGGGACAAGCCCAGACTGGTATCCCCAGGGCCTCAGCGGGGGTGGGGTGACGCCCCCGACCGTTTAAGGGTTAAACCTACTCCCCTAATTGCTGGGGTTCCCAGGAGCCAAAGCTGGGAACAAAGACCCTGATGGCTTTGAAGCTGGGGAGCAGCCCCCTCCTCTCTGCTGTGGGGGCCCCAGCTGGCTCTCACCTGAGCAGGTGAGGGATGGTTGGAGGGGCTGGGAACAGGTCATTTGGGGCCCCGTCTGGGAGGCATGGTCTGGGCGACATCGCTGCCCTTTGCCAGGCTATGCCCAAGTTTACTCCTTGGAGGAATAAAGATCCCTCCCAGGCGCAACTCAAGGGTGGGGGCAGTACTTCGGGGACTATAGGGTTAATAGGCAGCTGCCATCTGCGGGGGAATTCCCAAGACGTGTGCAAACAGCTTCACCCCTGGAGGCTTGGGGTTGGGGGGATCAGGAGGCTGAGCCAGGAGCCCTGCATCCTGGGGTGGAAGAGGCCTGACCCCTAAGGAGGTACTGTCTCTCATTCTCTCTGGGCCCAGGGAGCCCCCAAATGAAGGGAAGTCAGAGACCCCCACCTACTCCACAGGGCCTGGTGGGGGAGAAGGCTTTGACACCCACATGAGGATGGTGTCTGTCTAAGCTTGAGAAAGGCTTGTCATCCTGAGCCTCTGTGACCCCCCAAAACATAACAAAGAAGTCAACATTTTAAGAGGGCCTTAGGGAAAATCACTCCACCTCTCCCCCCCTCCCAGGCTTTTATAGAGTAATAGCAGGTTAGGATAAACATAAAGGGCAGTCTTGAAGGGCAAATATAAAACAAGAAACTGGAAAGGGGAAGGACAGCTCCACAGTGCTTTTGGGGGTATTGGGATGTTGGAAGGCACATTGGCTTAGGGACTGATTAAAATAAAGTGGGGGGGGGGTGGGCACGGATCCCAAAGGCCTCCGTTTTCGCCCTACCCAAGCTCCCTGCAGGTCTGGGGAATTTCTAAGGCTTTCAGATGTAGAGCTCCGAGAACACACCTTCAAAGCTCTCAGGGATTCCCTCTTAGTCATCGCCCAACCCCAGGGGTCCTTCCCTCTAGGCGGGCGCTTTCATCCACACCTGAAAACCCCAGACTGAGAGAGAACAGGCCTCCGCGAGCTTCTCACCCATCCTCTCCCATTATAGATGAGAAAACGGAGGCTCTGTGCTGTCTATTCCCTCTTTCTCTCAAGATTTTCTCCCCAATTACTCCGCTGGTACATGGCAGGGGCAGGATTCAGCTAGGAATTTCTGGTATTGGAAGGTAGAAGTTGAGTTCCCTCTGCTTCCCTACTCTGGGCTGCCTGTCAACCTGACCCCCACCGTCACACCCTTCTCACCCCCAGGTTTCCGCGAGAGTGCTTTCTCCTTCTCCATGCTGGCCGCCGGGGTCATGCATGCGGTAGCCACGGCCTGCAGCCTGGGCAAGCTGGTGAGCTGCAGCTGTGGCTGGAAGGGCAGTGGCGAGCAGGATCGGCTGAGGGCCAAGTTGCTGCAGCTGCAGGCGCTGTCCCGGGGCAAGAGTTTCCCTCACTCCCTGCCCAGCCCTGGCCCTGGCTCAGGCCCCAGCCCTGGCCCCCAGGACACATGGGAATGGGGTGGCTGTAACCATGACATGGACTTTGGAGAGAAGTTCTCTCGGGATTTCTTGGATTCCAGGGAAGCTCCTCGGGACATCCAGGCACGAATGCGAATCCACAACAACAGAGTGGGGCGCCAGGTACGTGGTGCAACTTGTTCTGGGTCTCCCTAGCATTTGGAGGCCTGGCTAGAGTGGGAGAGGCACAGCAGAGGACGAGGATGAGAGTGGTGGGCGCCTGCCTCTCCCCATCTGGTTGGCCTCGGGCAAGTCACTCTACCTCAGTTTTGCATCTGAAAAGTCTAATGCGACCTACCTCACTCCGAGGAGAGCTAGCACAGGGAGCACACCGCACGGTATCTAGCCCTTGGCAGGTACTCCTTACAAGGTAGCTATTATTATAGTTGTCCGACCTACAGAATTTAGGGGTCGTGTGGGTCAGACCCCCCTTTTAACCATGCTCATTCTGGAAAGAGCACTGGACTGGGAGTCAGAACAACTGGAGTTGAGTCCTCTTCCCACCCAGCTACCAACTGAGTCTCCCTTATCAACTAGCGACTGACGGTGAACAAATCCCCTTGCTCTGGCTTCTGTTCTCTCACCATAAAATGAGGGTGTCGGGTTGTTGGCCGCCTGCGCAGTTGCCCTTTCTCTTCTGATGTTCGGGGTCATTCTTGCCTCCATTCCTCGCTCTGGTGATCCTCTCTCCTGTGCCTCTGCGCTCGGTCCTCTTGCTGCCCTCCCTTTCACCTGTCCCCCGTGACCCTCCAGGTGGTAACAGAAAACCTGAAGCGGAAATGCAAGTGCCACGGCACGTCAGGCAGCTGCCAGTTCAAGACCTGCTGGAGGGCGGCCCCGGAGTTCCGGGCCGTGGGGGCAGCGTTGCGGGAGCGGCTCGGCCGGGCCATCTTCATCGATACCCACAATCGGAACTCCGGAGCCTTCCAACCCCGCTTGCGTCCCCGCCGCCTCTCGGGGGAGCTGGTCTACTTTGAGAAGTCTCCTGACTTCTGTGAGCGAGATTCCGCGGTGGGCTCCCCCGGCACCCGAGGACGGGCCTGCAACAAGACCAGCCGCCTGCTGGATGGCTGTGGCAGCCTGTGCTGTGGCCGTGGACACAACGTGCTCCGGCAGACGCGAGTGGAGCGCTGCCACTGCCGCTTCCACTGGTGCTGCTACGTGCTGTGTGATGAGTGCAAGGTCACGGAGTGGGTCAATGTCTGCAAGTGAGGGTCAGCCTCACGCGGGACTGCGGAAAGGAGGGGCACCTCTGCAGCCTTTTGCTCTGTTCCCCCCCAACACACCATGGTCAATCTTGGCCCCCGGCCACTCAAGGTATCCACCTGGAAACAGCTTTGCAGATGTAGGAAGTCAGATGGGGTCTGTGACATGTAGCCTTCTCATTCACAGTGGAGGGATTTGGGGCAGAAGCTGCCGCCCCTCTTTTGCTCCTGAAAAACCTGAATGAACTAAGAGGAAATACACTGTATTACCTCCCTCTCCCCAGCTCTGGGGTCCCTTGAACTGATTCATCGTCCCGTAGGCTGGGAGTCCCTGCAGTCTGACCACGCCTCTCCTTTGAGGGATCGCCCCAGGCATCCGTCGGAGCCTGGAGACCTGTATCCAGAAAAAGATTATAGACTCCGCTGGCTGTTCCCCGACTCCTCCACTGCAGCCTGGACTCCCTGCAGCCTGGACTCCCTCTGATGGGGCAACGGGAGCCGGTGAGAGAGAGGTTTTTCTTAGGGAAGGAAAGAGGTGCGAGGGATGCGCTCCCCTAGTCTGAGTCTTCTGTTCCGGCCTTTTAAGGAAGCCTCTTCCTCCCATTTAGATGTTAAAGAGAACCCTCTAGGGGAAGAGTTTTACCTAAAACTCTCGGAGCCTCCTTTTCTTTTTTTTTCAGCAGGAGGCGTGGGGATGGATAATTTATTGTACTGAGACGTGTTCTTGGTTCCTGTTTGTAACTAAAATAAATTAAGTTACTGGACCAGTGGATTCAGAGGGTGAAATTTCTTTTTATTTATTTATTTATTTATTTATTATTGTTATATTCCCCATACAATTGCAGCCCCCCCATTCTGACCCCAATCCCTCCCCTCCCGCCCCCGCCCCCCTAAAAGTGTCTCTGGTTCATAGTTTTTTGTTGATTTTGATTTTCACTTTCTTATAGTTATTCATTTTCCTGGTCCCTTATTTAAGTTTTCTAGATTCCTGCTATGAGTGAGACCATCCGGTATTTTTCTTTTTCTTTTTGGCTTATTTCGCTGAGCATGATCCCTTCCAGCGCCATCCATGTTGCTGCAAATTGCATGTGTTTATCTTTTTTGAATGCTGAGTAATATTCCATGGTATATATGTACCACATCTTCTTGATCCAGTCATCTCTTTTTGGGCATTTGGGTTGTTTCCAAAGCTTAGCTATTGTAAACAGTGCTGCTATAAACATAGGGGTGCAGGTGTTCTTTGGAATTGATGTTTCTGTGTCCTTTGGGTAAATACCTAGGAGTGGAATTGCTGGATCATATGGAAGCTCTATGTTTAGTAGGTCCAGAAATCTCCACACAGCTTTCCACAGTGGTTGTGTTATAGGACAGGGAGAGGGGCAGCCCAAACCCCGCAAACCTGCCTATTCTAAATGGGTTCTGCCATCCGCCGCATCAACACAAAACATATAAGACTTTAATGGGAAGGAACTTTAATAAAACTAGGAAACAATACAGGTAAGGCAAAGAGTCTAGTTTCTAAATGAAGCACCCAAAGTTACCCGTCCCCTCGTGGGTAAAAGTCCATCCATATGGGATCGGCCCAGAACAAGGCCCCAAAGCCTGCTACAAGTCTAAAGCATCTTCCAGTGGGGACCCACAGAAAAGGGTCACAAACAACCAGACAAGCCCGGAAGGAAAAGAGCAAAATCAACATCAAGATAAAAGCTGCCATTGTCACCTCCCCACAGGTCTCACCCACATCTGTGTCACCCAGTCCACGACCAAAAGACAAGCGCAGCTTCTTCACGTGTCTCTAGGCTCCATGCGTCTCCTCCAGGTCTCCTGGCTCCATCCTGCTTCCTTCCTCCGTCTCTTCCTGCAGCTTCTCCTCTTCCTGCTCAGCTCCACCCTCCCTTGGGTGGGGCAGGGAACCTCCCCCTTTCCTGGGGACCACCCTGTTGCAATTGGACCAGTTTGCACTCCCACCAACAGTGCAGAAGAGTTCCTTTTTCTCCACACCAGAGGGTGAAATTTCTGCTCACACTTGGGGTCCCAGTTTATGGCTTCTTTTCCAGTTGAATTATCCTACCCTCTTGCACTTGGTGACTTTATGTATATTTTCTGTGGTTTCGCAGAGGATTTGAAATGATCTTCAGTGACCTTTTTGGCAACTTTTAATATGAAAAATGAGGGGGGACTTCTAGACACGACTGACTAGAGATCTAAACCTAGGCCCAGTTTACTCAAGGCTAGATTTCACCTTGGTCACCGCCCTCCAACAAAGGTTGACTTCCCCTCCTCCCCTGGAAAGGGCTTGATAGTAAATATATTAGGCCTACAGACCTTGTCGCAACTACTCAACTCTGCCATAATTACTCAACTCTGCTGTTGTAGACCAAAAAGCAGCCATAGGCCATATATAAGCAAATGGGCATGGCTGTGTCAAATAAAACTTAATTCACAAAAAGACTACAAGCCTAGATTTGGTCCTCTGGCTGCAGTTTGTTGATCCCTGCCCTGTACCCTGAGGTCACCTCTGTTTTGGGGTTTTCAGTCTTGACTAGCTCAACATTGAATTTGAACCCAGAAAAGCAGGTATTTTTCATCTTGGCTCCAACCAGAGAACCTGGGAGGTAATTTGAAGACTAAGGGGAAACATGTAATAGGGGAGTTTCTTTTGCTCTGGAAATCAGCAAAATCAACATGTTCTCCCACTCAATTATTTGCTTATGTATTTTGTTCTTTTTTTTTTTAAGGATTAATTTATTTATGCATACAAGTACTGAGGTACAGGCCAGAGGTGTGGGATTGGGGGTGAAAGGATTCACCAGAGACAGAGTGGGAAACAGAACAGGCAGCCTGACTGAAATACACTGCTGAGGGGAGCAGCGGGTGAGTCAGGAGAGGTCTGCTGCGCCATGTGGGTTGCTCCCTGGGCAGGAATCGATCACATGCAGCAGTGGCTGCTGACAGCTTCATAGGTCGTGTCTTAACCACTTGAGCCACCAGGGAGGCCCCTATTTTGTTCTTTCTTATTCAGAGCTCTTCTGCATTTAATTTTAGTAAAATACCTTTTAGGAGATAACCATAACTAGAGTGAGCAGAATTTCTTTTATCCAATCTTTTAATTTAATTATTAGCCCAATATCTTTGAAAACAAACCATTATATATATTTAAATATTTATTTATTTATACATACCAAAATAGGGGTACAGGCCAGAGGAGTGTGTGTGGGGGTGAGAAGATTCACCAGAGACAGAGTGGGGAACAGAACAGGCAGAATGACTGAAATACACTGCTGAGGGGAGGGGTGGGCAATTCAGGAGAGATCTGCTGTGCCATGTGGGGAGCTTCCTGGCCAGGAGCTGCAGAGGCTGTGAATAGCTTCATAGGTTGCTTCTTAACTCCTTGTGCCACCAGGGAGGCCCCAAACCATTATATTTTGATTTGGAAAAGGGATCTATAACATACATTTAGAACTTTCTAAATGACCGACATTTATGGGGTTGCAAGACACTGACTCTGACAGGTCATCTCCTTGGCTTTCCACACCTCTAGGCAAGAGCTATGCTACCCAATTTCCCTGAAGAGTAAGTGAAATGATGGCAGCACCAGGATAGCAAGGGCATTTTGTGGAGTCTTGGGTCAGGACAGTACTTTATGGAAAAATGTTATGGCCCAAATTTCCACTTGAGCATTGAGAATTTGGGGTTTAAACTTTTATACAGATGCAGGAAGATAGCTCACCCTTATTTGGGGCACTGACGGAGCCTAGTGTGTGTATGGGGGGTGGGGGAAGAAGGGGAAGATGCCAGAATGGACACAGGATGTGAGAGAGACTAATGATAATGTCCCCTCTCCCTGTCCTATAACAATAAGGAATATCCAGAATGGGAATTTCTCACACTCAGGAAGAGGAGGGTAAACCCCAATCGAGTCACAGCAAAAATATTTTAGCTTTTCCCTGTTTTATTCTTCTAGATTCCTTTTAGTTCCTCTCTAGCTTTTTCTCTTCTTTTGTCAGACTCACTCTGTGGCAAACTTAAGCCCCAAACCACAACCTTGAGAGATTCCAAATGGATTTTGTCAGCAAGACCAACACCCCCTCTTCCCCACCCTTGCTCCTGGCACATGTGCTGGGCTCAGGCCCAGGCCTGGGGTCAGTGATGGGAGTAGTGTTAGGGGGAAAAGGATGTCCTAAAGCTAATTCCATACAGACTTTGTGGACTCCACCTCCACCCCAGGCCAAAGCCAGACACTGGGAACTCCAAATCCCATCACCACCAAGGGAAGGTGGCTGGGACCTGAGGGTGGGGTTCAGCAGCCAGGTTGGTATAAAGCCAGACACGTGGGCTTTGGAGGGGTCCCCCATTTTGGCTCTCCGCCAGCTCGCAGCCTCTGGCCACCTCTGAGAGTGCTTTTTGGGTTTCCAGGTCAGCGGACCGGGTAGGACGCATTAAAGACTTTATTTCCCTATTTTCTCCCTGAGTTGTACATTTTCCTTATTTCCTTTTCCTTTGTAAATAAACCTTTTATTAACCTTTTGTGTGTGTCTGTAGTGGAGTATTAATAAGTCCCTTTTAAGCACGCGGGTGAGGACCCACAGCCAGGCAACCCGTTCAATATCAGGGCTGCCCTATAACAGTAGGAGTGTGCAACCCACAGAGCGGGTGGCTACAATTTTAGCTTCTACTTCGCTTCAGTGGCAGTCAGAGGAGGGTGGGAGACTGGCCTCCTTCAGCTCTGGAGGAGTTTTTCTCCCTTAGTCTTTTGGGTACCTGGGAAGCTGTGGAGTGGCAGGGGCTGGCTAATTGCCAGTTGGGCAGCACCCCTCCAGGGATGCTGTTTGCCTCATGGGAAGCTCCCAGAGATGCTGCAACAGACAGTCTCCTCCTCAGCCTTGGAGAGGTGAAGAACAGAAGGGCTGGGGAATTCTCAAGTCCCCTTTATTAGTTTTGACTCAAATACTATGGTGCTTGCTGCCAACCATATTCAGCTGTCACCATTTCCATCCTTTGTCACATCTGGCATCGAACTTTGAGATGATCTGAAGTCTTGAGTAAGAACACTGACAGGTTCCACTTCCCGTCACACAAGGCATGTGGTATGGTTGGGGTACTAAGAAAGAGGGCTGTAAGACAATTTTGGTGGTTAGTGTGGGGGGCAAACCTGTTGGGGTAGTCCTAGAAAATTCTAGGAAAAGAAATGAGAAGAGTAAAATCATGTGGCGGTATCACAGAGCTCACTCTAGACGTTTGTAACAAGACTGAAGGAGTGGTTGGCCATTTAAAACAGACTTTAGGGCTTCCCTGGTGGAGCAAGGGGTTAAGTCTCAGCACTATGAAGCTATCAGCGGTCACTGCAGCACGAGTTAGATCACAGGTCAGGGAGCTGACCCACATGGCGCAGCAGACCTCTCCTGTCTCACCCACTGCTCCCCTCAGCAGTGTATTTCAGTGGATCCACCTGTTCTGCTCCCCACTCTGTCTCTGATGAATCCTTTCAGCCCCCCCTCCCACCTCCTCCCCCTGCACCTCTGGCCTACACCCCAGCTCTTGTATGCATAAATAAATCTTTAAAACAAACAAACAAACAGAATTTAGCAGGACAAAGGCCCTTAATGGCAACCATTAGGGACAGAGAAAACTGCCTTTGTTATAAACATGCTTGTTGTTATCCACCTCATCCCTCACTATCTTAAATTAAGGCCCTCTTGGCTTCACATTCTAGGGTCATGTTATTCTCAGGTTAAAATAAGCAAGAAAATGGGGATAAGAGGAAGCAATCAGAGAATGCTTATATCTGGGAATGATAGGGACAAGGGGTAGATATGGTATAGGTATCTCCAGTCTAATTCTTCTTGGGAGCAGACAAGAAATAAAGAAAAAAATCCAGAAAATTTTGGCTCAAGTCCTAAGGAAAAACCATGTGTTTCTTTATACTGCTAAATGAGAGAGAACACTTAAAGTTCCTTCCTCTGTTCTTAGCATTACTAGTGCCCTTCTTCTATGACAAGGATGCCTGTTCCAAGACAGCTTTGCATGTCTAGACCAGGTGCAGAAATAAGTGTGAGGGAAGTGGGGGTGGGCAAGAATAGAGAATCATGAGTGCAAAGTCCCTCACTTTCCTTGGGATACTAAAATGCATGCTCCTCTAGGTACACTTCCTCAGATCACATCCCTGCACATCAGGTTTCACCTGTTTGTCTTTCAAGTTCAACTTCCCAACTGGCCCAGGGTCCAGTTGTTTCTTTCTGTCTCTTAAATTCATCCCTCTTCTTCTTCTTCCCTATGAGCAAGGATCTCTTGCTTCAGATCCCAAAGTCACCTAGTCTTGGGTTAGCAGTCGTGAGCAGCAACATCGGCGGCGGCGGCGTAGTGAGCGCTCTCAGCGGGAGCCATTGCTCACACCAGCTAACTCTGGTTAAAAAGAAAGGTGCACGGTGGAGGGGTACTGCGGGCCGCAGCAGGGCTAGCTCCCTCTACCCTGCCCGAGGAGCCCTGGGGGGGCCTTTCAGTCCAAGCCGTGCGCAGAGCGGCCAGCGCGCAGCCCCAGTGCTCCTTCCAGGCACGGCTCGGAGCTCGGGGTTCTCACCTCAGCCCCCACTGCCGCCGGCAGCTTGCAGCCCCCACATCGGCCCCCGCCCAGGCTTCTGCTCCAGCACCGGGCTGCCTCTGCTGCAGCCGCTGCCATGGTGATGGATCTCGCGAGAACTGCCGCTGGGGCCGCGCAGATCTCGCGCGATCGTGGAGGTGGGAAGTGTCCCGGCCGGGGTGGGGGCGCCGCGCTCAGCTCCTGTCGCCGCCGCGGCTTCCGGTGCGGGGTAGCGGGAGGAAGGAGGAAGCCGGGAGCGGGGCCGGGGCGCAGCCGCGCGGAGGTCGGCCGGGGAGCCGGGGCAGCGGGGCGAGAGGCGAGCGGAGCCTGCGGGGCCGAGGCGGCGGCCGCTGCCGCGGAGCTGGGCGCCGGGACAGGTGAGGCGCGGGGAGGGCAGCGCCCCGGGGGCGGCGCGGCGGGGGCGGTGGGGAGGGCGCCCCTCGCCCGGGCGGCGGCGGGCGGCGGGCGGCGTGGTCTCCCCCCGAGCGCGGAGGGGGCGCCGGGCCAGCCCCTCGCCGGCCTCGGCGTTTGAAGGACGCGGAGCCGGGGCGGGGTGGGGGTGGGGGCTCGCGGGTCTGTCCTCCTCCTCTTGGAAGCGGGCGACACACTGGGGTTCCCTTCGCGGCAAGGGGTGGGTTTTCAGGGCTCGGGGCTGAGGGGGGCGCAGGCAGTCCGGGGAGAGGCGATGCGGGGGTGGCGATGCCTGCTGTGTACCCCTTTCCTGAAAGGGAGAGGGAATGCCGCCGCTCCCCGCTCCTGCCCCGCTGCCCTTCTACCTGATCACCCGGGGCCCGGGAGAGCCTCGCGGGGTGACACCAGCGCCCCCGTCGTGGGGTCGGGGTGCGGGCGGGTTCAGGGGGTAGCCGTCTGGGCAGGCTGCTGTGGCACCCCAGGGACACTGTTCTGGTCGGGATTGCGCTTCGGGGGCTTGGGAACCGCAGCAGAGGAAGAGGGCAGCAGGTTGGGAGCGGGAGGCGATGAGGCAAGAGGAGGGGGAGGGGACCTGGTCTTGCTTGGAAAAGAGAGGTGGTGCCTTCCTCCCCCAGGCGAGGCGGGGGCGGCCTCACAAGAGGAGGGAGCATCTTGTCGCTGACTCTGAGTTTGTCTTCTAATCCGCTTTCTTTCTTTAGGAAGTGCCACGATTCCTGGAGCAGAAAATGGAGCCATTGCTTGCACCCATGTTTGAGGGAAGCAAGGAGGGAGGGGGAGGGGAGCCCCTGTTAAAACAGGCCACTTGATTAGCAAAGTAGTAAATCCTCTTTGGGGGAGCTCCCATCTTTTGGGGTTGTCTCACTCCTGTCCCCATCTGGCCAGGCCAGGCTGAGTCAAGAGTATAGTCAGGAGTGAGGAGAAATAGTGAGGAGAAATAGTGAGGTGAGGGAGAAGTGTAACTTAAAACCTGCTCTGCTGCTATTGGATTGGGTCACCACTGGTCTATGGCATGAAAGTTTTATTGGTAGATCTGCTTCAGGAGTCTGATTCCTTGGGTCAGTGCAACAGGACGCAATCTAGTCTCTGCAAACTTCCTTCCCTGTCTAATCAGGTGGTGACCATCTTTTCTGCCCTTTTGTCTGGAGCTCCTTGCTGGGATCAGTGTCTCCACTTGCTGTGACTGGCATGGGACTATGGATTGGTTATTGCACATTAGACCTGAGTTTGAATAACATCCCTGTACAAGCTTATTGTAAGAATGAATCTGATCTGTTGAGCTCATTTTTTCACAGAATGAACCTTGGATTCGGCTGGGAAGGGCCTCTCCCTGTGTATCACGTATTCACATGCTTCCTGCCTCCCTGAACGGAATTATTACCTCGCATAGTCATAATTTTCATGTGTATGTCTTATTTTTCCAAAAAGTCTAGAAGCTTTCTGAGTGCAGGAATTAGATCTCACAATGCCTGGGCACACAGTAGGCACTCATGATAAATGCAGGTGTGAATGGGTAGAACTCAAGCTTTCTGACCACAAAAGTTTAAGGAAAGGAGAAGGCTTGGCTATCAGGGAGCATGCCTGTGGGTGGCAGAGCAAGATACAAAGACCTGTAACTTTTTTTTTTTTTTTAAGATTTGTTTTATTTATTTATGCATGCAAGAACTGGGGTGCAGGCCAGAGGTGTGGGAGAGAGGGGTGAGAGGATTCATCAGAGACAGAGTGGGGAGCAGAACAGGCAGATTGACTGAAACACACTGCTGAGGGGAGCAGCGGGTGAGTCAGGAGAGGTCTGCTGCGCCATGTGGGTAGCTCCCTGGCTCTTGATTGAACTTGTGCTGCAGTGGCTGCGGATAGCTTCTTAGTGCTGAGACTTAACCCCTTGCACCACCAGGGAGGCCCAAGACCTGTAGCTTTTTTTTTTTTTTTTTTTAATAGAGGCATGTTTTTCTTTATTTATTTGTTGTTTGTTTTGTTTATACATGCACTGGGTACAGTCAGAAGCGCGGGAGGGTGAGAGAATTCACCAGAGCCAGAGCGAGGGGCAGAGCAGGCAGAAGGACCGAAGGACACTGCTGAGGGGAGCAGCGGGCGGCAGGAGAGGTCTGCGCGCCATGTGGGACCCTCCTCCGGTGGCCGGGGAGCAGCCGGGGATTGAACCGGCACCGCAGAGGCCACGGGCAGCCTCGCAACCCAGCACTCTACCGCTGCGCCACCGGGGAGGCCCGCTTTTTTTTTTTTTTTTTTAAAGATTGATTTATTTAGGCATACAAGAGCTGGGGTACAGGCCAAAGATGCAAGGGGCTGAGAGGATTCACCAGAGACAGAGTGGGGAACAGAACAGGCAGATGGACCGAAATACACTGCTGAGGGGAGCAGTGGGCGAGACAGGAGAGGTCTGCTATGCCATGTGGGTTGCTCCCTGGCCAGGTGGGGATCGAACTCGTGCTGCAGAGGCTGCGATTGCTTCATAGCGCGTTGCTTAACCCACTGCGCCACCAGGGAGGCCCAAGACCTGTAGCTTTTTGAAGAAGAAAGTCTTTGTTCACTTTCCCCGGAGGCACAAACTGGGAATGAATAATGGAAATGAAAATGTAAATAAAAAGATAACAGTAGAACACAGAGTGTCTATCTGAAATCCCGTATCTCATTTCCCCACTGTGGGCAGAGGGGTCTCTCCGTTAGATGTGACTCCTTCAAAGCATTATCTGCAAAATGGGAGCCTGGAGATTATGGCCGAAGGAGCCAGTGATATTTGTGGTGGTTGGCGTAAGAATTGGTGCCAGTGAACGGTAGCTGCTATTGTACTGAATGCGGGCACAGAGGAGATGGATAGTCGGCTGGTGAGAGTGGAAGTGGAGTCTTCATTGCACAAAGGGCCACATTGTGTGCACTCATCTCTGCTAGTCTCTTTTCCACTGGAATCATAAGAGGAAATGAACTCAGGACAGGGGGCAGGATTTGTTGGTTAGAAGGAGGAACTTCTGTAAAACTAGCTTTGTTAAAACTGAGGATATAATTGTGGAATCTGCTTCCCCATATACCTTTAGAAATGGAGGCCAAGAGACTCAAACTATTTGGCTCTTCACCGTTTTTGTTACAGTAAATTTAGAGGCAAAATGGCATAGTAACTACGAGTGTGAACCTTGGATCAGAGACAGTTGATCTAGAGATGGCCTCTGTTAATTTCAAGTGGTATGATTTTGGTGGAATTGTCTTCTCTTAGCTTCATTTTCCTCATCTGTAAAGAGTATGTAGTGTTGTCATGAGAATTAAATGAGATGATACATGTAAAGCACTTAGTATTGTACAAAGCACATAGTAAGTACCAAATAAATGTTAGTTGCTATTAATAATCATTATCATAGTAGTGATAATATGAGCACTCAGGGCTGCCTAAAAGGAGAGAGGTTTACAAAAGAACAGTTTGCCTCCTAAGGTGCCTGTGTAGAGAAATGATTGTTACCATGACTTTCTGTGCTGCTCGTAGGCTTTTGAGCAGTGAAATTTTTTTTTCAGCAGCAGTTTCATAGAGGCAGCTCCTGCTGCCAGAGTGGGAGGTGAAGCTGGAGCAAGGCAGAGGCCCTGAACCATCAACATGCATTAAGGGTGAGGACATGGGGCTAAAGAGTAGTGTTCATGTTAAAAAGTCAGTGTGACTCAGGTAACGGTTGACTCTCTCATAAATGAACACCTTGATGAACCTAGAACAGAAATTTCATTTTAGGTCTCACCAGTATTTCAGCATGCTCCTTTTCCTGGCCCACTCTTTATTTACTCATATCTGCTTTATATATCTGCCTTTGAATGTGTTTCAAAATATACTGTATTAAGACCCAGAATGGTGATAACTGTAATTCTTTCTGCTCTACCTTTTCCAACATTTGTTGCAAATATAGGTAGAGTGCTAGTATAGCTTTTGACATGAAAAGACCTGGGAAGCATTTAGAAAGAATTCACAGATATTTGAAGGCTTTGTATTGTGATCTGGGAAAGAACTGACTGAGCAAAGATTCAATGAACGCATTAGAATTTCATCATAGTCTTCTGCAAAGGGTCTGTTATGTCATATGGACTAGAAAGGAAATAGCTCAAGATTTCAGGGATTCACCATTATCACCATATACTTGAAGAAAGATGAGATGACTGGGTGTGGCAAGTCTCCTGGAACCTTTTAGCTCGCCCATTACGGGTGAGCACCTGGCATAACCCATCTTTTTTTTTTTTTTAATTTTTAAAAAAAGATTTATTTATTTATTTATACAAGCACTGGGTACAGTCAGAAGCGCGGGAGGGTGAGAGAATTCACCAGAGTCAGAGCGGAGAGTAGAACAGGCAGACTGACGAAGTACACTGCTGAGGGGAGCAGCGGGCGGCAGGAGAGGTCTGTGCGCCATGTGGGACCCTCACCCGGTGGCCGGGGAGCAGCGGGGGATCGAACCAGCGCTGCAGAGGCTGCGGGCAGCCTCGCAACCCAACGCTCAACCACTGCGCCACTGGGGAGGCCCTGGCATAACCCATCTTTATGAGTTGATGCACAAGAGTGGCAAGCTTGAGAGTTTAAACTTCAACATGGCTAGAATGCAGGAGAACATTTGCTTTCCATTGCAATAGGTTTTGTCCTGCTTTTTCAAAAAGGCAATGGAAGCTTACCTTTTTATAAAACCTTCTTTGAAGATTTGAAGTCTAAAACAAAACATATAAAAGTGGAGCCGCTCCGGTGGTGTTGGCAAGTGGTGAGCATAATTAGAGCCTCTCATGTGGACCCCCCCTTTCCTCCAAGCAGTTTCTGAATCTCATCTGAGGAACCCCAGGGCTCTGAGAACATGTCAGATACCGGGATAGGATCCACCTGTAAAATCCTGTCTTCCTCAGTTTCACAAATGCTTTGTCATCATCAGTAGAACTGCACTTCTCAACAACAAGCATGTTGATCACAAGCTCTGAA